TCGTTTTTTCGCATCGGGTTTATATTATAGGAGAGGATTTCATTGTATTCGTTACTAATTCTGCTTTGAGACCTTGGAACTCTGTCTACTCCGATTCTTAGAATTCTTGAGAACTTTCGTCAAATCGCAAATGAGCATAATTCCAAGCTTGCGTCGCCATCGTTTGACATAGGATCATATCAGAAATAGCTGCTAATAATGGATTCTCTGGTCATGAGCACTCTGCATATGGTATTAAACTCATCTGGTATATTATTCAACAGCATTCTGATTTATTTAGTAATCAGAAGAACTCCTAAACAAATGAAGATATATTCCGTTATCGTCGGCAACCTTGCAGTTAGTGATCTTATAGCCTGCACTGCATCACTTCTCATCGTGTATCAAAGGTTTTAGATTTTGCCGTGAGACCACTAAGCCATGTAAATTGAAACCATTTAGAGCAATCCCAATTGAAATGTCACTCTTCTACATTTCATATGGACCCTGCTGCCAGCTAGGAACAGCAGTGTGCAATGCTGCGTCTGTTGGGTTCGTTTCTTTTAAGAGACAAAGAGTCACAGATTTAGATACAACATCTGGCTGCACTGTTTTCCGCATAGTTTATATATTCTGCTGGTGTCGTTCTCTTATCGCTACTACGTACTTCTGAGACCACTACCAAAAGTGCATACTATGATCAACATTACAACGCTTGTCTACATACCGTCTGGCGTACAGCTTGTGAGATTTTTCAAACCAAACTTCAAGTCTTTACAAAGAAAATTGCGGGTAGAGGTATGGTACTGCGAAGCGCACAGCTGATCTTAAAAGCTTGTTTCGTTTTTGCACCGATTAAGCACTGATTTATTCGTAGTGAATTAAAATTAGCATTGGTTTAACTTGATAGTTTTGTACACCTAGGTTGCAATGGCTTTGAAAGCTTTTCTCAGCTGCTCCTTTGAAACAATAGTTCAAAAAGCCAAAGTTCGGTTTAATTTGAAATTCACATGTAAGTCCGCTTTTTTTT